TCGTCGTCTTCGTCGTTGTTGTAAGTCGTCGTCGCTGTTAACGTCGTCGTTTTCGTCGTCATCGTCGTCGTCGTTGTCGTCGTCGTCGCTGTAAGTGCCGTCGTCGGTGTCGTCGTTGGCGTCATCGTGAACGTCGACGTCGTCGACATTGGTTTTGTCCTCGTCGTCGATGTCGTCTGCGTCATCGTTGTTGTCAGTGTCGTCGTCTTCGTCGTCGCTGCAAGTGTCGTCGTCGTTGTTGTCAGTGTCGTCGTCGTCTTTTTCGTCAGTGTCGTCGTCGGCGTCGTTGCCGTCGACATTATTAACCGTCGCCGTCGACGTCGTTGTCGTCGCGGGCGACGTCATTGTACGTGTTGTCGTCGTCGTCGTCGCTGCACGTGTCGTCGTCATCGTTAGGGTCGTCGTCGTCGTGGTCGTCGCAGTCAGTGTCGTCGTTATCGGCGTCGTCGTCGTCGGCGCCATCGTCGTTGTCAGTGTCGTCGTCGTCGTCGCTACCGTCGTCGTCGCCGTCGTCGTCATCAACGTCTGTGTCGTTGGCGTCGTCGTCGTCGTCCTCGTCGTTGTCGTCGCCGTCGATGTGAGTGTCGCCGTCGTCGTCGTCATTGCTGGCATCGTCGTCAGTGTCGTCGTCGTCGTCAGTGTCGTCGTCGCCGTCAGTGTCGTCGTCGTCGCCGTCGTCATCGCTGTAAGTATCGTCTGCGTCGTCGTCGTCTTTGCTGTCGTTGTGATCGCAGTCGTCGTCGTCGTCGGCGTCGCCGTTTGCAGTGTCGTCGTGGTCAGTGTCGTCGTCGGCGGCGGCGGCGTCGTCGTTGTCGGTTTCGTCGTCGTTGTCAGTGTCGTCGTCACCGTCGTCGTCGTCGTTGTAAGTGTCTTCGTCGTCGTCGTCGTTGTCGTCGTCGTCGTTGTTGTCGGCGTTGGCGTCGCCGTCGTAGCTGTAAGCGTCGTCGTCGTCGTCAGCGTAGTCGTCGACGGCATCGGCGTCGGTGTCGGTGTTGTCGGTGTCGCCGTCGTCGTCGTCGTCGTCAATGTCGTTGTCGTCGTGGTCGCCGTCACCGTCGTCAGTGTCGTGGTCGTCGTCGTCATCGTCGTCGTTGTGAGTGTCGTCGTTGATGTTGGCGGCGGCGTCGTCGACGTCGGTGCCTTCATCGTTGTCAGTGTCAGTGTCGTCGTCGTCGCTGTAATTGTCGTCGTCGAAGTCGTCGTCGCCGTCGTCGTCGTTGACAATACGTTGTCGTCAGTGTCGTCGTTGTCGTCGGCGTCGTTGTCGCAGTCGCCGTCGTAGTCGTCGTTGGTGTCGGCGGCGTCGGCGTCGGTGTCAGTGTCGTCGTCGTCGGCGTCAGCGTCAGCGTCGTCGTTGTCGTGGTTGTCGTCGTCGACGTCGTCACCATCGTAACCGTCGACGGATGTGTCGTCGACGTCGTCGTCAGTGTCGTCGTTTTCGTTGTCGACGTCGTCGTCGTCGAGGTCAGCGTCGTTGTCATCGTCGCGGTCGACGTTGTCAGTGTTTTGATGTCGTCGTCCTCGTCATTGCCGTCGTCGTCGTCGTCAATGTCGTCGTCGTCGTTGTCAGTATCGTTGTCGTCGTCGTCGTCTTCGGTGTCAGTGTCGTTGTCGTAGTCGTCGGCGTCGGCTTCGTCGTCGCCGGCGTCGTTGTTGTCAGCGTCGTCGTGGTCGGCGCCAGTGTCGTCGGCGGCGTCGTCGGCGTCGCCGTCGCCGCCGCTGTCATCGTCGTCTTTGTCGTCGTCTTTGTCGTTGTCGTCGTCGTCTAGCGCGTCGTCGTTGTGAGTGTCATCGTTGTTGTTGTCGTCGTCGTTGCCAGTCTCGTCATCGTGATCGTTGCCGTCGTCGTAATCATTGTCGTCGGCGTTGTCAGCTTTGTCGTCGTCGTTGTCGTCGTCTTCAGTATTATCGGCGTTGTTGTCGGCGTCGTCGTCGCTGTCGGCGTCGTCGTCGTTGTCAGCGCCGTCGTTGTCGGCGTCGTGATTTCCGTCGTCGCTGTAAGTGTCTTTGTCGTCATCATTGTCGCAGTCGACGTCTCCAGTGACGTCGTCGGCTTTGGCGTCATCGTCGTCACGGAAGTGTCGTCGGCGTCCATGTCGTCGTCGGTGTCGGCGTCGTCGCCATCGTCGCCAGTGTCGTCGTCGTCGTCGTGGTGTCAGTGTCGTCGTCAGTGTCGTCGTTGTTTTTGTCAGCGCCGTCGTCGAGGGCGTCGTCGTCGTTGTCAGTGTCGTTGTCGTCGTCGTCGTCGTCATCGTCTTCGTTGTCAGTTATCGTCGTCGTCGTCGTCAGTGTCGCCGTCGTCGTCGGCGTCGTCGTTGTTGTTGTTGTCAGTGTCGTCGCCGTCGTCGTCGTCGTTGTTGTCAGTTGTCAGTGCCGTCGTCGTCGTCGTCGTCGTCGTCAGTTGTCAGCGCCGTCGTCGCTGTTGATGGCAGTGCCGTCGTCGTCCTCCTAGTCGACGTTGTTGTAAGAGCCGTCGTCGTCGTCATCGTTGTCACTATCGTCGTTGTCGTCGGTTTTGTCGTCGTCGCCGTCGTCGTCGTCGTCATCGTCAGCGTCGTCGTCGTCGTCGTTGTCATCGATGCCAGTGTCGTGATCAATGTCGTCGCTGTCGCCGTTGTCAGTGTCATCGTCGTCTTCGTTGTCGCCAACGTGTCGCTATCGTCGTCGTCGTCGTCGGCAGTGACGCCGTCGTCGTCGTAGTCGTCGGCGTCGTCTTCGGCACCGTCGCCGCTGTGAGTGTGGTCGTCGTCAGTGTCAGCATTGCCAGTGTCGCCGTCGTGGTCGTCGTCGTCGTGATCGTCGTCGCTGGCGTCGTCGTCTTAATTGTCGTCGTCGCCGTCGCCGCTGTCGTCAGTGTCAGGGTCAGTGTCGTCGGCGTCGGCATCAGCGTCGTCGTCGTCGCCGTCGGCGTCGTCGGCGATTTAAGTAGCGCCGTCGTCGTCGCTGTCGTCGTCGTCGTCGTCGTCGGCTTCGCCGTCGTCGTCGGCGTCGTCGTTGTTATCAGTGTCCCCGTCGTTGTCGTCGTCGTCGTCGTTGTCGTCGTCGCCGTTGTCACGTCGTTTTTTTGTCGTCGTTGTCAGTTGCGCCGTCGTCTGCGTTGTCGGCCTCGTCGGTGTCAGTGTCGTCGTCGTTGTTGTGAGTGCCGCCGTCGTCGTTGGTGTCAGTGTCATCGCCGTCATCGTCGTCGTTGTCAGCGTCAGCGTCGTCGGCGTCGACGGCGTCGTCGTTGTCAGTGTCGTCGTCGTTGTCGTCATCGTTGGCGCTGTCGTCGTCATCGTTGTCGCTGTCGTCGTCTTCGTCGTCTTCGTCGTCGTCAGTGCCGTCGTCGTCTTCGTTTGTGTCGTCGTCGGCGTCGGCTCCGTCGTCCAAGGCGACGTCGTCGTTGTCAGTGTATTCGTCGTCGTCGTTGGCGCCGTCGTCGTTGTAAGTATCGTAGTCATCTCTGTCGTCGTGGTCATTGTCAGTGCCGTCGTCGTCGTCGTCAGTGTCGACATCGTACGTTGCTTCGTCGCCTTCGTTGTCGTCATCGTCGTCGCGCTTGGCGTCGTTGTCGTCAGTGTCGTCATCGGCGTCGAAAGTGTCGTCGTCGTCGGCATCGTCATCGTCATCGTCGTTGTCAGTGTCGTCGTCGTCGTCGCCGCCGCCGCCGTCGTTGTAAGTGTCGGTGTCGTCGTTGCCGTCGTCGTCCTCATTGTCGTTGTCGTCAGTGTCGTCGTCGTTGTCGGCGGTGTCGGTTGTCGTCGTCGTTGACGTCGTCGTTGACAGTGTCGTTGTCGTCAGTGCCGTTGTCGGCGTCAGCGTCGGCATCAGCGTCATCGTTGTCGCTGTCGTCGTCGTCGTTGCAGTCATCGTCGTCAGAGTCGTCGGCGTCAGTGTCGTCGTTGTTGTTGTTGTCGTCGGCGTCGGCGTCGGCGTCGGCGTCGGCGTCATCGTCGGCTTCGGGGGCGTTGTCGTTGTCAGTTTCGTTGTCGTCGTCGTCGTCAGTTTCGTCGTCGTCGACGTCGTCGTCGTCGGCGTCAGCGTTGCCGTCGACGTGGGCGTCGGCGTTGTTTGTGTCGGCGTTGTTTATGTCAGCGATGTCGTCGACGGTGGTGTCGTCGTTGTCGTCGTCGGCATCGTCGACGTCGCCGGCGTAGTCGTTGTCAGTGTTGTCAGTGTTGTCGTCGTCGTCGTCGTTGTCAGTGTCGTTGTCGTCGTCGTCGTTGTCGGTGTCGTCGTCGGCGTCGTCGTCGTCGGCGTCATCGTCGTTGCCGGCGTCGTCGTTGTCAGTGTCGTTGTCGTATTTGTCGTCGGTGTCAAACGTCTGCTCAGCCTGGCATCGTCGTCGTTATCGTCCTTGTCACCCTCCCTTCTGGCTACCTGAAGAGGGACTGCCCGAAGTGGCCTTCGTGACAGCGGCCTACGTACGAAGCGTGGCAGCTCTGGGTTCTCATTCGTCTCCATCGGCAGCGTGCGTTTTGTGTTTGGTTTCTCCATCACGCTGCTCGCGGGCGGGCCTTACTGTCGTTTTGGACCGGGCAGGGGGCACAAGGCGGCTTGGAGCGGTGGCCGTTGGCGGCGCGCACAGGTGGGGGGGAAGTTTTCTTAGAACGAGGCTGTTTGTTAGAAGACGCGGGCCTTATCTAAAGATGTGAGGCCAGCGCCTTCTAAGAAGCACCCTCATAAGAAGCCTCCCCCCCATTTCCCTACCCTATTGTGAGCGCCGCCAAGGCTGGAGGCGACCTGCGATAGCCCATCTCTTTTCCCTGCTCACAGGCCACCTGGTTCAAAGCGCTCCTCGCACGCTTGCAGGATGTCAGTCCTTCTCCCCCCGCCCCTCTATGAAAGGATGGCGGCAGGGCTTTGCTCGAATCGCCTGTAGTCCGCCCCCAAAAGCAACCGTGGCTCCTCCCGCGTGGGCCAGATCGGCGGGGGTGGGTCAATTGCTCCGCCTGGCTTCCTCGTCACGTTGCCCTTATCTTCCTCCCCTTGTTTGCCTCCCTGAAGAGGGACTGCCCGAGGCGGCCTCTGTGGCAGCGGCCTGCGGTGTGGCCCTGGGCCCAGTCGGCGGCGTGGACTTCGAAGGCAACGTCATCTCATGGCAGAACCTTGCGGGACCTCCGTCTAAGGCGACGGTCACGGATGAGATGCTGGCGGAGGCGCGGGGGGCCTTCCAGAGGCCCGGGGGGGGGCGACGACTGTGATGGTGGCTCGGCGGCCCATCAGGGGCCCCGCATCCGTGCACGTGCCTTCCCAGCCAATCTGGGAGGGCGCGCGCACCGATCCTGGGCCCAGGATGTGCCTGCGCACCGGTCGGTTTGGGCGCATATCCAGACATCAGGGCGACGTCGTGTTTTCTCGTGGCGTGGGCCCCTCGAGCTCTGGACCCCGTCCTGGGGGCAGATGTTTCGCCGCGGTTCGCCTTTAGATGGGCCAGGGCTCGAAACGCGCTTCCAGGGGCGAGCATTGCGGAAACATTGGCTGGCACCGTTTTTCGGGGGCGAGCGCAGGGGGAAGGGGCAGGCAGCGGGGCTTCTCGAGAGCCCTCGCGCCTCCTGAGAAGCGTCGTAAGCCTTCCTCGACTCCACAGACGGCTTCTCAGAAAGCGCGAGGGTTTCTGAGAAACCCTGCCGCCTTCTGAGAAGGCCTGCCGGCTCTCACTACCCCATTGGGCTCGCCCCCGAACTTTCCTGCGGCGCGAGGTCTGTGCATTGGTGCCCCCCTCCAGAGGGACGCTGACAAGCTGTGGCTCGATCAGCTGCTGGCGGTGGCGTTCCCGCACGTGCTGGCCACCAGGAGCGGCGCGCGCAGGAATGCGAAGCTGGGGGCGACGCCGCCTCTCCCGTCGAAGCCACCGACGAAGCCGACGCCGCCGCCGCCGACGACGACGACGACGGCGGCGACGACGCCGACGAGGCGGACGATGAGGCCAGCGCCGGCGCCGTCGACGACGACCACGCGCGCACCAGGAGCGGCGCGCGCAGGGCCGTGAAGCGGGGCCGTGTCCTGGTGGGCGGCGTTCGGGCGACCACCTGCGACGCCCCCGCCCCGCTGGCGGGCACGGAGCTCGAGGCGGCGCCTCCCGGGTGGCGTGCTTCTGTGTCGGGATGGCGGCACTGAGCTCACTGAAGGCTGGAGCCGTCTGGGGTCCTGGCCAGCGAGAAGGGCAGGCAGGTTCGAGGTTCTGGCTTCGGATCGGTGTATTGGCTTGTTCACCCTCTGGGCGCCGCTGTCGGGCCCCAGGACCATCATAGACACGGATCCAGGGCGAAAGACTACACCAGGTGGACGGATGTTCAGTGGATTTGGCTTCTTTAGCCTTCATTCAGACCTCCTTGGCCGCATCCAAACTGAATGTGCAATATTTCGGCAGCAGTGGCGACAATGAGCTCACTGAAGGCATCAAGTTGTGTTGGCTTCTACGGTTGTTTGCCTTCTGCGGACTCGTTGTCGCATCCCGTCGCAAGCATGCCGTCGCAGCGCTCCGGCGGGAGCGCGAAACGTCCCTTGCACCAAGCAACTGCCACAACTCTCCCTCCAATCATCCAGAGATGGGAGGGGGTGAAGCTTTCTTGGGTCTTCTGGGAGCTCGGCGCCTCGGCTAGGTCCCCCCGAACTTTCAGCCAGAATGCGCCCCAGGCATCGTCGTGGTGGTGGTGGTGGTCGTCGTCGTCTTCGTTGTCGTCGTCGTCGGCCTTCAGAGTGAAACGGTTACTTAATGTTGGGCCTCCTGGTATCTCCTGGTGTCACCATGGGAAAGGGGTCCCGCTACTGTCCGTTGTTGTCGGGCTTCTCGGGGCCTTTCTCTGTGGCTCAATGCCGTCAATCAACGACTCGGGCGTGCCAAGATCTTGAAAAATCCTTGAGACATCCAGGACCCCCTTCCCTCTGGACTTGCTCGGGCGTGCCAAGATGCAGGAGGTTCGACGTCCGCGATTTGGCGAGTTTCACTTCTTCTTTTTTGTGTTCTCTCTCTCTCTCTCTGAGCCTCATGGACGAGCCTCGTGACTATGGACGCAGCTCAGTAAACTGGCCACGAGGGACCCTGGGAGGAGTCCAGGATCTGGGGTTTGGATGGAGGGGGGTTGCTGTGTAAGAAGGCATGACCCAGCGGAAGACAGATAAGAGCATCATGGAAGTAAGGGCTACGAGTGGCAGATAAATCTGCGCCCGAGGCGACTCCTGGCAAATTGGAGGGCCTCATGCCTGGACTGGCAGACCGCGTGGCCCAGTGGAACCGCACCCGCGCCGGCCGCGAGGAGAACCTGCTGACCGTGCTGCACCACTGCCAGGAGGAGGGCTGGGCTGTGGTCAACAAGCCCGCAGGCATGGAGACCACCCCGGAGCACGCCCGCAACCACTCCCTCGTCCTGCAGGCCTACCTCCCCGCCCTCCTGCCGCCCCCGCCTAGCGGGGCCCACAGGCGGGGGCCGCGCCCGTGCCACCGCCTGGACCACCGCGTCTCGGGACCGGTGGTGGTGGCCACGGGGGAGGAGGCTTGCCGGAGCATCTCCAGGGCCTTTGCGGAGCGCACGGTGCAGAAGGAGTATCGGGCACTGGTCTGCGGGCGCGTCGGCGCCGCGGGCGACGCCTTCACGGTGGACGAGCCCGTCGGCGGCAGGGCGGCGCAGACGGAGGTGAGCGTGCTGAGGACCGCCGACTGCCCCCACTGCGGCGCCCTCTCGGAGCTGGCGCTGCGCCCGCGGCAGGGCCGGTACCGCCAGCTGCGCCTCCACTGCGCGGAGGTCCTGGGCGCCCCGATCGTCAACGAGGACGAGGAGGTCTACGTGCTGGCGGAGGCCGAGTGGCGGCGCCGGCACGCGGGCGCGCCGCTCCCGCGCTTGGTCCGCCGTGGCAATCAGGGGCAGCGATAGGGGGGGATAGGCATAGGGCCAGGGGGGGATGCATCGATCTCCAATCGCGCATTGATCGCCGATAGGGGCCCGATAGCCCCAACCTGCCCAGGAACGTGCGGATTCACGATCGGAGGCCTATCGCCGATCTATCGGCGATGTATGGCCGATTCCAGGTCGATGCATCCCCGCCTTTGTCAGTCCCCCCCTGTCGCTGCCCCCCTCAGGCAAGGGCAGCCTGTTCCTGCAGGCCGTCGAGGTGGCGTTCCCGCCGCCCCGTCGTCCCGAGGAGCTCGCCCGGGTGCGGGTGCCCGTGGCCGAGCGCTTCGGGGCGCTGCTGCGGCAGGCGCAGGGCGCCTGGGACCGCGGGTGGCGCGGCACCACGCCCCCGCAGCGGCGGGGCGGCGCGGGCGGGGCGCGGCCCGGAGGCGCCGCGGCGCGGGAGCCGCTCGGAGATGCTCCCGCGCGGGCGGTCGAAAAGAGGCCTCCGCCCCCCCTTGTTCAGGAGCGAAAGAAGGACGTACACGTACATGAGTCCACGCTGGCTTCGAGAGTTCGCATTGCACGAATGTTCGTATCACGCGGCAGGTCTCGCGGGTCAAAGGGCCGTGTTCATGTACATAGTTGGTGCGGCAGGCTCGAGCCGTCGTCGTCGTCGTCGTGTCTCGCCTTTTCTGCTGCCTCACGTAGGCCCTCGTCGGCACAGGTGGGTCCGCTTCGAAAATTTGGTCAGTGCTCAATCCTGTGGGCTGGTTTTGAAGACGGAGGGCTCAGACCACCAGGCGTCGCTGAATGACGACGAGAGCTGCACTGACACTATCAAGTCACGATGCGCAGAGAACTGACACGATACGACTTCATTCCCGCCAAGGAAGGCTAAGCTGCGGGGCCCCACAAGAGGGCCCAAGAGGGGCCCAACAGCGCCGCAAGGGCGCCCAAGACGGATCCAGACGGCCCAATTTGGGCTGCGATCTCCTCAGGGGGGATTCGCGCCCCATTTCCAACAGGTGTGCTTACCCCCCTCCCCTTCGCCCCTTCACGCTTCGTAGGTTGAACATCACTCCCTCTTCCTTCCTCTTCCTTCGGCTTTCGCCCCGCAAGAAAGTCCCCCTCAACAGAGTCCCCCCTCCTCCCCCGTCCCCCTATCACCCCTCTTCCCCCCGCCCCCTCCCTCGCCCCCTCCCCCTCCGTCTTCCGTTTCCCTGCCTTCCTGCCCCCGCCCACCCCTCTTCCCCCCCTCCCCGTCGGGGAGGGGAGCAGGTGGGAGGAGAGGCCGCCGCCTCTGCGGGCGTGCGACCGTGCCCTCCCTGTCCTCTCCCCGCCTGGCGTGCCCGCCGCCGCTGTCGCCGCTGCCGCCGCCGCCGCCGCCGCCGCCACCGCCGCCGCCACCGCCGCCGTCGTCGTCGTCGTCGTCGTCGTCGTCGTCGTCGTCGTCGTCGTCGTCGTCGTCGCTTTTCATTGCCCATGACGCCAGCCCGCGGGGGTCTCGGCCCCTCCACGGGGCCCCCGCGTTTTTCCTCCCGGGCCGTGGGCTGGTGCTCTCCCCCTGGGGCCCGCGGGCGCGGGTCCTCCAGAGGCCGAGGGCGCAGGTCAGGTCTGGCATGCCGTTTCTATCCGGGTGCGTGACGCCGGAGGTCTGGGCGCCTGCTCATGCTGCTCCCTTCTTTGGCAACGACATCGACAACCATAAGGAATGGATGGACTGGTGCGTCCCCTATGCGACCGCCGTGCGGCAGCGGCCGCAGTTTGACGCGAACTTCGCACTCGACGGCGCTTTCGGTTCTGATACGGCCCGCCGTGACAGGGCGGCTGAGATCTGTACGATGGCTTGGCAGCGCAGTGACCGTCCCCGCTCTCGGCGTTTGGAAGTCTACAGTGCCGAGCAACAGTCGACCATCGTTCAGCGTGAACTCGCCGAGGAAGCTGCTGAACATCGTGCCCGCCGCCGCTGGATTGAGCACGAGACCCGCAACAATCCGCGCCTGGCTCCTGCTGGCGACCACACGACATCGGCTACATCTACCACGACCAGGGCGAGCTGGCGCCAGATGGACATCCTCGAGGAAAGCGACGCCTCCTCCCGTGACGGACTTCTTGGGAGGACTTTCATCCCCCACCGAGTGGCGCGGGCAGAAGAAGCTACTTGCGAACTCGCCCTCCTCGCTCTTCTGGCCCGCGGTCAAGACGTTGGCGGGGGCCTGGACTATTACATACCGCGTGCACGTGAACCCGCACAAGAAGCCGTGCTTGTTCGGGTGCATCTCATGCGACGACTCCAGGAACGTGGACGACATCAGCCACTACGTGACCTGCCCATACATGTGGGCAATCGTCGCCAGGCCGCGCGGCCAACTCTCAGCGGACTTCCCCGTTCGCATTGGCCTGGCGAGTACTGCGACTGACGACGACCATCCACGTCATGTCATCGCACGCCTGGCAGTGGCGTGCCGCACATACAACATCCTGCGCACCCAGCGCGAGACCGACCTCCAGACGGCCGCAGCCTCGCCGCACAAGAACTCCATGCAAGAGAACCACATGAACGCGGCTGCTGCCGCCCGCCGTTCCCTGAGGCTGCCTCGCTGCCTTGTGGGCGGTGCGGGGCCGCAGCGTCGCTGATCGACTGACGCGCGCTCCCCCAGCGTGTCGTTTGCCCATCCCTGCACGTCCGCTCCCAAGCACGGAGGAGAGCGCAACGCTACACCAGCACAAGCAGGGCCGCCACCTGGCCAGCAGGTCCACAGGGACTCCCCGGAGCCGGAGATAGGAGATGCGTCGAGCAAGACGCCGAACAGTAGCGATATTACACCACGAGGACCCCCCCGCTAAGAGGAAAATTCTGGAGGTCTCGCGCGGCGCGCAAGGGTGGGACCATCTACTCCACACGTCCGCTCCGTGAGATATGGGTCGACGTTCGCGCGGCGATGTTTTGAAGTACGTCCGACGTGAATCCGACGTTCATCCGGCGTGATCCGGCGGGAACCCGATGTTCGACGTGGATCCGACGCGAATAGGGTCTGGAGTATATTTTTTTTGCTTTCCTGGAGGGTCAGGGCTGCCCCCCCCCCCCCCCCACATTCTGGTGCTCGCGGGCGCACTATGGCGATCGCAGCGCACCACCGCCCCGACGTGCCTCACCCCGCGGGCCAAGCGCTAACTACCGACACCCAGGGCCTCAACCCCCCTTCCCCGGACAAGCGACCGTTACTGGAAACGATGTAAAACAATCTCCACTGGGTTCGTTGCTCGTGGCTCGTCGTTGTCGTCGTCGTCGTCATCCTTCGCTTCTGGCAAGCCGCACGACGCTTCACCGTTCCTCCGTTTCACCGCTTCGCTGTACGCTGTACGCTGCCCCGCCAGCCTCCCCGCGCGCACCGCGCGGGGCATGGAGCCGCACCCCGGGGACGGACGATTGGTCCCTGCCCCGCCCCAGACTTTTGGTCAGCGGTGAGGGCGAGCGCACATCGCGTCCTGGTAGCCAGCAGGCCGCGCCGGGGCTACCCGCACACACACGCACAGACAGACACACAGACAGACAGACAGACAGACAGACAGACAGACAGACAGACAGACAGACAGACAGACAGACAGACAGACAGACAGACAGACACACACACAGACACACAGACACACAGACACACACACACACACACACACACATACACACACGAGACCCCATACGTCATGATTTTTTCACAACGTCGATCCCCAGAGGTCTGGACTCCTTCCCCAGGATCGGCTTCTCATCCTGAGTTGTTTTTTGGCGGTCCCGTTGCCCTGTGATGGTAGGTCGAAACTAGCGAAGGTTCCCGTCGTGTTTTTTTGCAGCGCGAGGGGGTCTGGGACACGCACACAACAACAAAATAGGGCGGCCGCGGAGGAGGAGGACAGCGGGCGGGCGGCCCCGGGAACCGGACACCAGACGCAGGCCGATGTGCCCTCGGGCGCGCGGTCAGTGAGGGCTCCGCACCGGACAGCCTCCGATGTGATTATGTCTTGTGTTCGGCCGTCGCGTCGCAGATCATGGGTTCCGGTATCTCCTCAATCAGCTGTTCCACGGCTGCCCTGCTGCCTTCGCTTCTGCTGGCGTGCCCATCAGTCTCTCTCTCTCTCTCCGGCTGACCCAAAAGGGGGTCCAGCTGCACAAGGGGGTCGTGCAATAGATCTGGTGCCATAGATTTGTGGGTTGCAATAGATTTGAGGCGTGCAATACATTCCTGGGCGCATTTTGTTCTTGGATCTTCGCGTGCAATACATTACTTGCCATACAATGCAATACAATTCTCCGGCGCAATACATCTGCAATGCAATTGCCCGAAATCTGTTGTACCACCCCCTTTCAGCTGGACCCCCGTTTGGGTCACCCAAACACTCTCTCTCTCTCTCTCTGCTGCCCTGCCTCCCTGCTCCCTGCAGCATGCCTCTGCCCTCCCCAATCCTGCCCAGAGCTCCAGTGCTCAAAAAAAATCACTGCGGGCGGCCGTTGGCTGTTTTCGGCCTCCGGGGGCCCTCGCGTGGCCCCTGGACCGCAAAGAAACGAGTCAGGACGCGAAATCAGCCTTAGGGAAGGGAAGGGGCGGCTTTTGTTTGTTTTCGGCCTCCAGGGGCCGCCCTGGGCCTCGCTGAGAGATCGGAGTATCTTATGCTACTCGCGGCCTGGTAGAGCTGGGTCTAAGCTACTTACAGCAAGGAGTAACTGTCGTGCGTGTTCTAAGTACGCCTAGTTTTTGTTTAAGTATTGATTAGGGATTGCTCTTGCGGTGAAAGTCTAGATCTGTTATTTATAATTGCGTTCCATACTTAGTCGAGCGGAGTCGGCTACGCGGCTATATATATATAGATATGATACAGGAGAGAATCCCAAACGAAGTTGTTTTAGGGCTATGTGGCTATTGGGCTATAGGGCGATAGGGCTATGGGGCTATGGAATTTAGGGCTATGGGGCTATAGGTCTAGGGCTATAGGGCTGTAGGGCTATAGGGCCATAGGGCTATAGGGCCATAGGGCTATGAGTCTATAGGGCTTTAGGGCTATAGGGCTATAGTACCACAGGGCTATAGGGATGTAGGGCTGTGGGGCTATAGGGCTATGGGGCTATAGGCATATAGAGCTATAGGGCTATGTGGCTATAGGGCTATAAGGCTATAAGGTTATAGGGTTCTAGGGCTATTGGGATGTTGGGTTACATTACCATAGGGCTATAGGGCCATAAGGCTATAGGGTTATAGGGCGATAGGGCTATAGAGCTATCAGGTTGTAAGGCTATAGGGCTATGCGGCTATAGGGCTATAGGGCTATACGGCACCCGGGCACCTGGGCACCCCGGCTGGCCGGGGAAGTCGGTGACATACCTCACCTATCCACACGAATCCGTTAGGACCCCTACAGAGGCAAGCTCTGATTGGGGGATCTATCTCTACGCCACTGACCTGAATTAGGCACCATTACTTAGCATTACCTGCAAGTAATTGGTACGTCGTTTGTAAGCTCCTTCCTTGCCTCCCTCCTCCCTCCATTGCCCTCCGCGCGATTCCCCGACGCGCGCCGCGGATGAAACGGATAAGGAGGTGGGAGAGGCAGCGATGGCGGTTGCTTGGGCGAGGATGAGGGGATTGGGGAGGTAGCGATTGCGATCGCTAGGAGGATGGAGGAGGAGGACGAGGACGAGGAGGAGGAGGCGGATATGGAGGATGATGAGGAGGACGAGGAGGGGGAGTTCATTTGAACAGAGAGCGGAGGGGATTACCTGATCAGAGAGCGGAGAGGGGGGGAGGTAGCGATGGCGATCGCTTAGGG